AGCTCAATCAATAAGGGGGATTTAAATAATAAAACGTTAATTCACATGTCAAAGATCTCTTTGTACAGAACATTTCTTGTGTAGATCTTTCCATCATTTTTAAGATCACCTTGCAGAGGACTATCCATTATTTTTAATTTTACATTCGTTCTTTCACGAAATCTTGAACAGGCAACATAAAGTTGACCGTGTCCAAATGTAGGCTCAGGTAAAAAAATGTCAACACGCTTAACCTTTTGGCTCTGAGACTTAGTGATTTGCATAACATAAGGTAAGTTTTACAGGAAATTGTCCATGTCTCAATTGAAAGGGCAACCCTGTGCCGTAGCAACATCACCCCATTGGCTAGTACAGTTACGAAAGCAACCCATAAACTATCGGCGACAAACAGACACTTAAGCCGCATATAATACAAAGATATTTATTTATTTCATTTATATTTGTTTTTTCATCGATGCCCATTGCATATTTCCGAATTCTATTATATATATATATAGATGTTAAATTTATTTATTAAATGTTAAATGCACATTCTATTGTATTTTTAATTTTTCCGGCTTAGCTTTCTCATAATATTCGTTCTGCGCTGCACTACACGTGGAATAAAACAATTTACAGTTACGCAAGCAACCAATAAACTATCGGGGAACAAACACTTAAGCCGCATATATGTAGGATATTTTTGAACAAGGTGATAAAAAAATTAAATTAAGTAACTTTATTACAAATATTAAAAACACTGTATCAATACATCAAGCGCAGCCATTACATTAATTAAAATCACACTTTTGTGACATTGGAATCGGTAATTTTGTTTCTGAAAACCTATTCATATTTCTAAAATAAAAAATAATAATAACACGGAAAATAATTAAACATAAAAAGACCTAATGAGGCGCGCTCATTGGCTAAAATAATAAGACTACGCCTCAAAAAATTCTCTCAGTAGTCGAAATTGTCTTGTTTTGCACCAGTGTCAGAAAAGTCTCATCAGTGTAGTCTGTCCTTATCTCGTTGATTATGATATAAATATGCTGCTAATCAATTTATCTTCAGTCACAATTACAAACAGTTTCGTAAAATGATTAACCCTTAACTCCCCTAGAATTTTTTGTATGGAACGTTTTCAAGTCCAAAGTGTACCGAGTGAAGAATGCCAGTATTGAACAATTAAAACAGTAAACTATGGCTGCAGCATCTGAAATTACGTCAATAACTTTATAAGGTATTTGTCCCGCCTTCCTAGCGTGCCTTCGTGGTGAAGTGGTTCTGCACGCCGGGCTGGTATTTCAGAGGTCTGTGGTTCGATTCCCGGCGAAGGCATTGCTAATTTTTCATCTCTCGGACATTTCCAATTAACCTAATGTCTCTACAGTGGCGCCTGAACTAAAAGAAAGTTTGGATAATGATTCTCCTCACCCAGGATTTGGTAATTGGGTCCCCTAAAAACTCCAGTCGCCCTTTAAAAGGGGGAGTATATAAGGTATTTCTCCCGCCTTCCTAGCGTGCCTTCGTGGTGTATTGGTTCTGCACGCTGGACCGGTATTCCAGAGGTCTGTGGTTCGATTCCCGGCGAAAGCATTGCTAATTTTTCATCTCTCCGACTTTTCGAATTAACCTAATTTCTCTACAACTTTACTTAAGGTGTTCCAGAGTGTAATGGAATGGTGGAAATTGTGCTTAGACACTCAGGGGGCCACGTTGAATTGTACTAATTTAGTGTTACATTAAGTTGCATTTTCATGTAAATAACTTATATTTCAGAGCCTGCTTAAAGCCTGTTTAAGCAAAAATGTATAGAGGCTTTATAAGTACACTCTATTACAGGGAGACGAACACGATATGAAACAATATGGTTCACTGGGGGGGGGGCTCATTTTGCCAGGAAAGGCCCAGTTTGCGTGATATTACGACTAATATTCAAAAGGTATGACTTAAGCGGTGATATGACTTACGTAACCTTCCTGTACTTGCTATGGCTGAAACATAAGAATAAGCAAAAAACAACATTCATGTATCTAGCAATTTTTTTTGTTAATGCTCACGTACCATACATTTGATGTTGTACATACATACCTGCAGAACTATTTTATTTATTTGTGAAGATAAGTTACTTATGAAAATAAGTTATGACATTAAATTAAAGGAAAATATATGTTAGATGGATTGGACTACAGTAAATTGCTTTTATTGTTATTAGCTAATAAATAAATATAAAACGAATGTATCCAGTTATCAAAACTGATGTAATAGTCTTAAAATATGCATTCCCGTTTGAATTTTACGTGCCTGCATTACTTAACAATTAAATCATATGAAAAAAATTAAAGGACTTTATTATTAATTAAGCCTAAATTCTATGGCCTGAGGAAGAAATTGTTATGCGGATAAATGGATCTCCCGATTTCTGGATTCCGAAAAATCGGATTTCTGTTGTGCATGGTTTAAAAAAATCTACTGCTAGGCACCAAGAATTATTAGATTAGTTAACGAAATTTGTACAGGAAAATGAAATACACAGGCATTTTTATTTTGAGCGCGTTCGTCTCAAGTGTAGTCACATAAAATCCTCTAAATAAAGTTAAACACTCTGAAGTTTGTGCTGCCGTATTTTTCAACTTCATATTTCCGATTATTTTTGTACAATTATTTCATGTTTTTTGATCAAATTCGATTGTAAGATTAAACGAGCTAATGAATTTGAATTAAATGAATGTATAAAATTTTCAGTAAAAAATTAAAATACTGCTTCATTCTTCTTATTATACTAAATTTTGCATGGTAGTTTAACTTAGAGATAAGTGCATTTTAGATGTAAATATGATAAAATATTTTAATTAATAACATATATCAATTTTTTAAAAAATTTTAATTAAAATATAGATCTACGCTTGGAAGAACTTTCTCGTACAGAAGGAAAATGATTTTTAATTAGATTCTTTGATATAATTTCAAACATGGACCTGAAATTAGATCAGATACTAAGAACCCAACAAAAGACATGAGTTGGTATTCAATTCCATTGAGAATGCCAAGGAAGTTCTCTTTGATCGTGAAGATCGTGATATGAACAAAGCTTCAAAATCCTTACAATTTTTGATGAAACGATGGCTAGGTATAGCAAACTTTAGAAAAAACTGTGAAAGTCGAACATAATTCACACATAATTACTTAAATATTACTTACTTTATTATTTTTTAAAGAAGAAGTAGAAAATTAAGCAAAACTTTTATTGCAGTGTTTTATTAACTCCATTGATTTATTATATTTATTATTTAAAATTATGCTGTATTAAAATTTAGGTTTATCACATTCTTAGAATAATCTTTTAATAGCACGTTCATGATAGGAGGATTACATTTGTTAAGACGTTATTTCAGTTACTAGCCTACAGTACTGCTCAAAATTTGCTGGATATCTGAAATGTAACAAATATATTGAGTCAATAAATTATTTGATTTGAAATTTTGCAACAAATGTTGGGTAAAAAGCATGTCGTCATATTAAAAAACGTTCAGCTGGTGTTGCTGACAGCAACTGACATTACCAAGCACAGAATTAAACAATCATAAAATAACAAGGAACCTTAGGAATTAAACAATCATAAAATAACAAGTCATTCAGTACAAACGCCTCAACCGGTTGAATCTTAAATCCTTTTAAAACTCGGCAGTTTGAGGAATAAAAAGAAATTGTACTTGATACAAATATTTTTTACGAACAAATAGATAGACCTACGATGCCAAATAAAGAAAAAACTGTGCAGAAAAAAATAATTAAAATCTGAAAGGTATCAGATTTAAAATTACGTCCAAAGGGGCGTTTTTTAACGTTGTGTTATCTTTATTTATTAAATATCATGTTCTACGTACTCAAACCATAAAATTCAGATTAACAGCAAAATGGCAAAATAATTTTAAAATGAGCATATCTTCAGAATTTCTGATACAGAGTCTCGCGCTCTGGAGATGAAAATGTTTTTTTTTTTTTTTTTTTTTTTTTTTTTCTCCGTACAGTGCTGCCATTGCTCGCATTAGTTTGTTAATCAAAAATTCGTTGAAGTGTTACAAAATATGAAATCGAAAATAAAAGAAATTAAAAATACAAATTAGGGCTTCCACATGCCCATATTCTACGGAAGTTTACGTTGTTCAAATTTTGATGGCTCTAGGTACCGTTGTTTTATCACAGTGCGAGAAACATACATACATTCATGCAGATTCTTGATTATTTAATTACTTTACACAGAGCGATCATATTTGGTGGCAACAATTCGAAAAGTAATTCGCCGTTTATAATTTTCAACGAAAAATGCCACAATGAAATTAATAGCCCTTCTGGGCAAATTCCTTCATTGGCCTAATAAAATAGAGCAAAACAAAAATTTGGGAGGGAAGCCATTCAGATACGTTTCAAGAAAAGAGGAACACAACAATAGCGGTTCAATATGTTAATGATTAATATGCTATATTATTAATTTGTTATATTATCATCGGCGTAAGTATTAAAAAATGAAAGTTAACGGTATTTAACTTTTTGTTTTCCTTTTAAAACTACTGGTTCAGGTCAACTAGTAATAGATAAAGTGGCTCTTTAGAACGTGCCGAAATGCATTTCGAAAATTATTAAGTTAAAAATAGGGTTCTTCTAAATATGTTACTTTGTCATGCAAAAATTGTAATTGTAATTCATTGCAATTGATATTAAATTACCAGCACTTTTTCATGTATGATTTTAATATCTGAATTCTTCCCATAAATTCTCGCATAATTTGCATAAATATTTAGAAAATCTATAGATATAGTAATAAAACTCATGAAGAGATTCTTTGAATGGTTAAGATTTAGGAAGATGTATCCCAAGTAGCACATGACGTAGCAAAGACGTTGCAAACTGGTCCGAGAGGTTGCAAAGTGGTCGTAGTCACGTCTGTGCTACGTCACGTGCTACTTGGGATGATATATAAATACAAAGAAAAAGAGAAACTTTAAACATATCACCTCTACAAGCTTTGCTAACTCTTCTTCCTCAAGTGCTTTAGCTTTTTCGATTTTTGTAGTTGAGTCAGTTACCTTCTTCCTTCCTATAAATAAATAAAAATATTTTTATTATTTAAAAATAAAAAGTAAAAATACTACATTTTATTAGATGTTTCCTAGTTGTTCAAATAATAATAATAATAATAATAATAATAATAATAATAAAAGCTATAATCAGAAAGTAAAATATTTTAATTATCCATACCTTCATCATCACTCCAGTCACAAAACATGTCAAGATAAAGAGAATTCATAGTTCAATAAAAATTTCCTATTTGTATAATAATATCCTTTAAAATACTGTTCACATCTAAAATTTTGTAAATTAATTGTTGTTTTAGCACGAATAGTGTAAAATTTAATACAGAATGTTTCTTTCACTAAGCAGCACTTATCGTATCAAAGGAGAAAGAGATAAGCTAACAATGCGGAGTTTCAGAAATTATTTTCACTTTTCCTTAACCGCTGAATGACGCATTATTTTTTTATTAAGGCGCTAAGCAGGTTTTCTGTGTATCTCATAAGGAAAAGGAATAACTGACTCTACACATTTCATCATAATTCTGTTTGCTTTAGAATGGAGCGTTATTCTTCTATTCTTGCTCGTATAGACTTTTTTTCTGAAATGTATAGCTGCAGCAGTTAAAATAAAAACCTTCAAAGGAAAGGCTGACGTTGACGTCTGAAAAGGAAAAGTGATTGTATCGTACTTAAGGAGCAATTGAATATTTATTCTTAAACTGATAGCGGCACTTTTTTTTGTATTAAAGTATGCTTTTCTAAGAGCCATAAGAATCAGCAAGTCAACTTACCTGTATATTACCTTTATTCAGTGTCGGTATGAAAAAACGTGATTTGCGGTCTGAAAAGAAATTTTATAAATAATTACTTCTAAAGCAAGTATTTTGCCATTTTATATGGCATTTTAGTTTTGATTAGCTATTCCTATCTGAAACATTTTATGTTCTTGAAGCAAACTGCTGGTGTTTTGAATTTTTTATTAAGGATCAAGCTGGAAATTCCTTGATCAAGGACAAATGTATTAAAAAAGTATACTATAAAGGAAAAGTCTTTAAATAATTTTAGTAACGAGAGATAGAAGTAAAACAAGTAATAACGGTTTTTTTTTTAGAAAGAGATGCTCTAGTGTTTTATTTGTGTTCGAAACTAATTTACTTTTGCCACTTGAGAAGAAGAAAATAGCAACGCGACGAGTTTGACAGATGGCGCTTCAGTACTGAAAATGATGCCCCCCCCTTTCCAGTGATAACGTTATACCTCACAGTAGTCTCTCACACGTGCCAGAAATCTCCCTCTTCGACTAGTTCTTGTATTTCTAGGGTCAGTGTTTTTTGAAGGATCATTGTTATTAATAAGTGATTGTGAGATTGTGGAGTTATCGGCTTCACATGTCTGAAGATTTGTTGTTACTTAATCTTTGAATTTGAAACATGGTTTGAGTCTATCTATGGATATTCTTTTAACTTTACCTGAAACTACCCCAGCGAAAAATTTCCCAAAAGGTTAATATGGTCAAAGACAGGTTGGTTGAAAAAAAGTTGAAATTATTTTATTAAAAGTAAATACATGCGAACCATTTGCTAAATCTTTGGTTTTCTTCTATGGGGGTTGTTGGAGTTGGTTTTGGATTTTGTACTTGGATTTGCAATTTTCGAATAAAATCTAAATACATGGCAGTTGGGGATTTATTGAAAAATTCTTCAGGCAAACAGATTGAAGTGCCGTTGACAGATGAGCGTTCAGTGGAAGAACAACTCATATCTGTTTTAATGGCGGACCAAATGCCAAGAAAAATTAAGGGTAGAATATCAGGTCCAAGAATTTGAGTTTGAAGTTGGGATTTCAGGCTGTTTATCAAAGTTCGATGCTGGCGTTCAATTAAAACGTTAGACTGAGGATGATAATCTGTGAGGGGGTTAGCTTTGAAGCCTAGGTATTTGCTCGAAGACTGGAAGAATTCGCTTTCAAACTCTCAATCTTTGTCGGATGTTATCTTCTGTGATATTTCAAATCTGGAAGTCCGAGTTGCGACGAGGGCATTTGCGATGTAATCTGCAGTTTGGTTTCTAAAGGAACAGCTTTGGTGCACTAAGTGGATCTATCAGTGATAGTAAGCAGACACCTAGCTGCCAAAGGGCCAACAGTGTTTATATTAAGGTGTTTAAAACGTTGAAAGTTTGAAATAAGCAGCTGGATCATGGGTATGTTTGTGAAACTTTGGCTCATTGGCATGCTAAGCATGCTCTAGTTCACATTTTACAGTCTTTGCTTATGCCAGCTAAATGAATGATTTTTGTCACCAGCTTCATTGTTTCACGAATTCTGAGATGGAATATGTTATGTTTGCTAAAACATACACTTCCGCGAAATTCTGTAGGAATGTATGGCAGTTAAAATTAATAGAGTAAATTTTAAGAGTAAATTTTCTTATTGCTATCCGGGATAGAAATATGTGCTATTTTGAAACTGGAGTCTGATTTAAGAATCTTGATGTTTTCATTCTCCTAGCAATCTGCAGTAACTGTAAAATCAATTGGAGTAGCGATGGTTTAATTTCTCAACAATGTGTCTGTTCCGCTCCAAAAAGGTACTGTAAGTCTGTAGTGAATTCAGAAACAGTTCAACTGCCGGACTTGTCTTGGAAAGGCTGTGATAGTTTTATGATCAGTGAAGATACTAAATGACCGTTCTTCCAGAATGTACTCAAAATGCTTTACTGCTAGATAGAATGCAAGAAATTCTCTATCATAAACACTGTATTTTCTCTGCGTTGATGATAGGGATCGAGAGAAAAAGCCTAGTGGTTGTTTTTCACAATTATATAATTGATGGATCACATCTTCCACGGCGGAATCAGATGCATCTTTTATTAGACTGATCCGAGGCATCTGATTAGGGTAAGACAACTTTAAGACACAATAACAAGCCGAATAAATACTAATTCAGAAGTCAAACTACAAAAATCAGCGTTATATTTACAAAATTTTCACAGGACTAGTTTCGATGGTTTTACCGAACCACCATCCTCAGCTGCAAAACCGCAAATGAACAAGATAGGAAATAATGATTAGATAAGATAAGAAAGCCTGGACAAGAATAAGTTTTCACCAACAGATAGCGCCACTTGCTTATTCTTGTCCAGGCTTTCTTTTCTTATCTAATCATTATTTCCTATTTTGTTCATTTGCGGTTTTGCAGCTGAGGATGGTGGTTCGGTAAAACCATCGAAACTAGTCCTGTGAAAATTTTGTAAATATAACGCTGATTTTTGTTGTTTGACTTCTGAATTAGTAAGATAACTTTGCTGAGTTTCACAATACGCTTTTGATATTAATAACAGCGTTCTGTATACTTTTCATAGAGATGATCCAAATGAAAGTTTTTTTTTCTGTTTTTCTTTGCTCCTTTAAGCAAGATTCTCAACGGTTGTTGCAATTTTGCGCAGTTTAATATAAAGCTATGGTAAATATTCAGCAGTTTCAAAAGTCTGTGCAAGCTTTTAAAAGATCCTCGTTTAGGATACTGTTTACTTGTATCATCTTTTGAAGGGAACGGCTGCATTTCTTCCGTTGATATTTCATGACCTAAAAATTTAACTTTGTTCAGGCGAAATTTATATATTGCAGAGCATTATTGAGCCCTCTGTTTACTGATTCAAGATGTATTTTATCTGTTTATGTGTCTGGAGAAGCAACGAGAATGTCATCGAGATAACAGAACACAAAGTTTAGTCCTCAGATTGTTTGTACAGTCCATTAGGAAAGATAGCTGGTAACGGTCTTGTACGGTGCTTGCATTTTAAGCCCACAATAACTACCGCAAGGCCTTCAGTCATAGTATTTTTACTTTAAAGTGAGATGTAATGGACTTTAACAGCTGCTTTTGGATGGTCTGCGGAGACCTTCTTGCAGCATATTATCGAATTCTTTTTCCACAGCAATCAGTTTTTCATGAGAAAGTCTTCTGACTTCAGAGAATAGAATATGGGCTTTTCTTCGGTTAACATGAAATGCTGCATATCATTTTCTTAATTTTATCTTTTTTATGGTCGGTTTATGTAAGTTGGGAAATTTATTTAGAATGGTTCTATATTGGTTTTGAAAAACGTTAGCAGTGTATTTAGGAGTGGCGCCATTGTTACGTAAAGTATCTTTTGTCGTCAATGAGGTGGTACCATCGATTAATTTTCTATTTGTACTGTCGAATAATAAGCTAATATGTGAAAAAGAGTCTATTCCAGCAATAGGTGTCAATCATAAAAGGTAAATTGAAAGATCTGCATAGTACCAAATAAAGTTCCAACAACTTTTTACCATATGCTTTGATTACTGTACCATTGTTACAAACAGCTTAAACATAGTTCTTTCTTGGTGGTGAGATAATTGATATTTCTGTTCTAGCGTCAATTAAAAAATGGGCTGTTAATGCGATGTCACGAATACATAGACTACTCAGTTCGACCCCCTTGACTTTCGATCGTCATTGAAAGCCGGGGATTCAGTTTTCTTGTACACAAATCGGATATTTGCGAAACCGTGTGCCCTTGTAAGTTCTGACACCAAAGCGTTGGTGAAAATAACAGTTTGTTATATTTTAACCAATATTCTTGGATTCGATTCGTATCTTCGTCTTTGTGGACTGGAATCTCTACATCTACTGATTTCTGCTATCCGCAGTGTTAAGTTTGATATCTGTTTTTGTAAATCTTAGGCAATTTTGTTATCAGATGGTGCAGAAACGATGCTCAAGCTTGTTAAGAACTCTGGTTTAGGATATTGGCTAATTATACCAACATTCGAAGTAAGAGGTTCAATTCCTTCCTTTCGTAACCTAAATATTCAACTTTGTTCAGAACAAATTTACACTTTGAAATGCTTATACACAGTCCGTAGTTAAGGAGCCTTCTTCTAATTTAAGAAGTTTTTTGCACGTTTCTGTGTCTGGAGAAGCAATGAGAATGTCATCGAGATAGCCGAACAGAAAGTTTAGGCCGCTCAGCACGGTGCTGATAAACCTTTGGAAGGTTTGTGCAGCTTTACATAGACCAAATGTCATATAAGGAAATTCAAAAAGTCTTAAAGGTGTTATGATGGTGGTCTTCGAAATATCACCTACGCCAACAGGGTTTTGTTGGTAAGCAATTTCATGGTTTGAAAAATCGTTGACCTAATGGGATTTGAAATTTAATTCCCATATCTTGTCTTTAGTCGACAGTTTGGACAAATCACCGTTGTTTACAGAAAAAATGCTCTGCTTGTTAAGGGGCAATCGCTGCATCCACAAGGTTTTCAAAAATTCATTCGGCACCTGCTCCGTCGCTAAGTTTCGCATTTCGCAGAGAAGTTGGGATGGTTTCCTGTCACCCATTTCCAATTCAGTCAGAAGTTCCTGA